TCCGCGCAGCCCCAGGAGGTGCCCGCGTGTGGCCGGGACGGTGTCCGAGCGGCACAGGAAGGCCGGGAAGGGGATGGGAGCGGGGCAGGGCAGGTGCATCCCCTCCTCGCAGGTGCCACGGGCAGCAGCACCTCCTTCCCGCTCTGGCGTGTCCTCCTGGCAGCGGGAAGCTGCCTGTCCGCGCAGGGAATGCCCGCGCTGCTGCTCTGCCCGAGCCAGGGAATGCCAGCGCCCGTGGCTTTCAGCCCTTCCCCCCCCACGGCCCCATCCCCTGCGGTGATAAAAACACACACACCCCCCCAAGGACTGTTTTTAAGTCTTTTTATAGAAAACGGCGACTGTACAGACACATTTACACAGAGAAGGGGTGGGAAAGCCAAGGGAGAGGTCAGGCCTCCCCCTGCAGCACAGGCAGAAAGGGAAGGGAGTTGCCTTTTCTCTCCCTTCGCAGCCCACGGTGGGACCTCCTGTCACACCAGCAGGAGGCAGAAAGAAAACTGGAAAAAATGACCCCGAAAATAGAGGGAAGAAACGGCGACTGTACAGACACATTTACACAGAGAAGGGGTGGGAAAGCCAAGGGAGAGGTCAGGCCTCCCCCTGCAGCACAGGCAGAAAGGGAAGGGAGTTGCCTTTTCTCTCCCTTCGCAGCCCACGGTGGGACCTCCTGTCACACCAGCAGGAGGCAGAAAGAAAACTGGAAAAAATGACCCCGAAAATAGAGGGAAGGCAGGGAGAGGAGAAGGAGAAGGTGGGGTGTGGAGACCTTCTCCTCCCTCGGTGTAGCCACGGTGGGCCACGCTGTTCCTGTGGGTGGGACACAGATGCTTCTGGGATGCTGCTGTGCAGGATGTACACCTAGGAGAGGTGAGGGATGGGAAGGCTGGCTAGGGCTCTCCTCCCCGTTTACATGTCTCACCAGCAGGAGAAGTGGTGTAGGATGTTTCCAGGCCCCCTGGAAGAAGAGGAGAGCAAGTCCTTGGGTGCCTTGGGGGCAAGGGCAAGAGAAGGAATAACACTGGATACCAGCCTTCAGCACTGTTGGAAAGGAGGAGGCTGAGAATGGCTTTTGGCCTTGAGCAGGGAAAAGTACATGGCGTGGGAGGCAGCTGGACTTCTCCAAGATCCTGGGAGTCTCACACACACAGCACGGGGAAGGAGAAGGCACATAGGCCTGAAGGCGTCACACAGCCGAGCATGGCAGGAGCCAGGCCAGCCCTGCAGGAGTGGAACCATCCCTGGGTGCAAGGTCTGCTGTGGCAGTGTGATTCAGTGGGGGCAGGCGTGAGGTGTTGTCTCCCCACGGTGCCGAGGTGTCCAGGGCCTTGGAGGAGGGTGCTGTCCCTGCACCCCCGGGGTGCCTCTGCTAGATTAGAATTCGGAACAGGAAGGAGACAGCAGCTCCTAGGGCCAAGCCCAGCGACAGGAAGAAGGCCATGATGGCTCCAGCTGTTTCTGCTTCGTGGGCAAGCACTTTCCTAGGGGAGAAACAAGCGTCAGACCTGTCCTTAGGGATGCGTGCCCTGTGTCCTGCCATGAGCTCAATGGAGGGATGGGACGAGCCACAGAGGAGCCAGAAGCTGTGCTCCTCTGCAGCAGAGGGACAGCAGGAACAAATCCTCTATTACAGGCCCGTAGAGAAAGAAGTGCATTGGGCAGGCTGCCTTGAAGCTCCCACTGCCAGGGGCACCCCTCTCTGACTCCTGTCCCCCACATGGCTCAGCCCCAGCTGGGCTTCTCACGCTGCCTGTGCTCCTGTGCCGGGCACGGCTGCTCACCCCGCTGCGGGTGCTGTGCCGTGCTTTGCTTCCCTCCAAATCCCTGCTGTGTCCAGCCCCTTCCACAGCACGGCAGGTAGGGGGAACAGGGAGCCCAAACAGTAGATTTCTCATCTCAAGGGTATGGAGGCACAAGGCTGGAAGATGGGACACTGGGACTGTCTCCCCTGAGGTGGTGTGGTGATTGTTCTCTGCGCCCACATCCCCTTCTCTAGATTCCATTACTGGGCAGAGCCAGACACCAGTCGTGCTGGGGCTGGCATCTGTGGGTGTAACCAACTCTTCCCCTGTCCCTAGCTCTTACTCACTTGGGCCCGAAGCACATGCAAAGGCTGGCCAGGTAGCCATTGGAGATGGAGAAGAAGATCATGAAGATGATGTACCAGGCGTCATGAGAGAACACAACAGGCAGGTAGTGACGAGGCTTCACGTTGCACAGCATGAAAAGAGGGATAAAGATGACACGGAGGGCCACCATCACTGGCAGGAGGCAGCTGTCCTTCCCGGGCTGGGAGAAAAACACATGTCACTGAGCAGCTGAGAAGTGGGCATTCCCCATCCCATGGCAAGCCGGCAGACTGTCCTGACTGTGCTGGGGCTGAGGAGGAGCCACAGAGAGAGGGCAAAGTTGCTGAGAAACTTCCTCTGCTGCAACACATCTCAGCATCACTGCTTGCTGCGGTAAGGAGGTCACGCTAGGTCTGACTACTGCCCTGAACTCCTGTCCCAGCCAACTTGGAGAGCAACAGCATTAGACTCAAAACACTGAGCTGGGCTTGTGAGCGACAGCTAAGCCCTTGCTGGAAACAGCTGGCAGGCAGGAGGGCCTCGTTCACTCTCATGCAATCTCCCCTTGCAGCAAACAACCAGGCAGGACAAGGCTGGCTGAGGTAAACCCCCTCTGGCACCTCAGAGCCTGCAAACTAGGCTTTAACCAGCTCTTCAGCCTCCTATGCTATCCCCCAGCCAAGCAGGGCAAGATCCAGCAATCTGGGAAAGGGATTATGCTGGAGCTGTTTCAGACAGTTCTAGGAGAGGCACAGACCAAAACAAAGTCCTCTCGGCTCCTAGCAGAGGACTTTAGACACTTGAGGCTGGGATGAAGGAGGCACCATCCCCCTGTGTTGTCCCTGCAGATGGGACTGAGGCAGCCCCTGGCATGAGATGTGCCTGGCTCCATCTAGGGCCTCCTCAGTGGGGTGCCAGGCACTCAGATGACGCTGAGTCTCACTGGTCTGGGATCAGGAGAGACCCACAACTACCCTGGGAGCTGCCTGGGCTGGTGTAGCCATGGGACACCTCATGAGCACAGAGGGAAGCTGAGGTTAGGCCAGCTCCCATGTCTGTATGGGAATGAGCAAGAGCAGCAGCCTCTTCCTCCTGAGGAGAAGAAAAAGAGCAAGTGGGGCCCCAACCAAGGAAATGAGGCCCAAACCACATGCAGTCAGACTTTCCACACTGCCTTGTTTTTGGAAACGTCTCCTGCTGGGTCATCCCACCACGGAGGCTGCGGCCTGGACACCAGGCAAAGCGGCTCATGGCCAAGGGCAAGGGCAGCCAGCAGTGGTGGCCAGGGGAGAAGCAGCTCCAGGCTGCAGAGAAGCTGGGCCCAGACAGACCCCACGGCACTGAGGAGCTTCTCTAAACAAACAGCCCGAACAATACAGGGGGAAACATGCTTGGGGGGTAGGTGAAGGGGCAGGAAGAGACACAGATGGGACAGCCCCCTTCCTCACCCACCCCCCGTCACAGCTCCCAAACCTCAGCCCCAGCAGCTCTGAGCCAGGCAGAGGAGAAGAGAGCAAGGGGAGAGCTCTGTGACCCACGTGGCATGGCTCTGCCCTCCTTCCAGGGCAAGGTTCTTTAAAGCAGCTGTGTCCTGTGTGAAGGCCAGGGGTTTTATTTTGGGCTGCCCTGTCTTTCACCCCCTTTCCCTGCCGCCATCCTGCCTGGCTGTTTGCATAGCTGGAGTGAAGGTTTGTTTACAAAGAGGCTAAAGTGGAGGAGCCAGCTTAATCCAAGGCATGCTGAAGGAGGGGTGCAGAGGACAGGACAACACTTGTCAGCTCTGACCCATAAATCTCTGCTGAGCACCTAAAGCCAGGGCAGGAGCCAGGTCTGTGCCTCCTTCGTCCAAGCAGTGGATGACAGCCATGGCTGAGGGGCCTGGAGATGAGGAGTACCTGGGCATTTGCTCCCTGCCCCATGCTTACCCATGTGAAGAGGGCAGTGAGGCTTCGTCCTGTCCAGTCAAAGACATTAAATAGCAGGAAACAGGAGACAGGGATGAAGTAGTGACCTGCAGAAGGGGAAGAAGGTCACCGAAGAGCCCAGGATGCCCCACGTCCTCCTGCTGATTCCATGGAGACTATCTCTGTGGTCTGGGTTCTCCTGGTTTCCCACTAAAGGCTGGAATGCTCTCCCAGCCAGGCTAGGAGATTGTATCTCCATACAATCCATCATGCACAATGGTCTCCCCTCCTCCTCAGTCACCTCTGCTACTCCAAGTCCCACTTTCTTTCCTGCCAGCCCCCTCGTTTCCAGTTTCCTCCTACCCCATCACATCCCTGGCCACACTTACCCCATCTGTTTCCCTCTCCAAGGACAGTGGACACCTTAGCTGTGATGGAAGGAAAGACACCGATGGTGACGGTGAAGACGAAGCAGACAGACACAGCCATGACCCAGAGCTAGGCAGATAAAAGAGAAAGGCTGGTACCAAACACAAAACGAGAGACCAGTGTAGGCTGGTCTCCTCCCTGTGCTCTCCTACACCCATGCCCATCCCCTGAGAGAAGGGGCAAGGCAGGGGTTGCTGGCAACTCACAGACCTTCTTAAAAATAGCGATGACCGAGGGCGTCTCGTCAGGGTCGTGTATAGGGATGATCTTTGAGTTATTCTGCTCCATTCCATTGGGCTCATCTGCAGGGAGAGACACAAGTAGGGCACAGCAGACCCCAGAAAGCTGGGATCTAATTTAGTCCTTCTGGCTTGTTCTTCCTCTTTTTCCTTTACCTTCCTCCTCTCAGCCCCCCTCACCTTTCTTAATCAGGTCTCTCTTGGTCTCCAGCTCCGCATTGTACACATGATACTCCGTCTTGTCCTTGACGGAGTAGTAGCGGAAGAAATCCTGCAGAGACAGCCACAGAGAACTCATCCATACATGAGGAAAGAAGGCTGGCAGGGGCTGTGTGGTAATGGCTCGTATGGGCAATATGGGCAAAGTATTCCTTCCACTTACGTCCAATACTGATAGTTTCCTGCTCACCCAGGGGCCCATTTCCACAGTACCCAAGGATACTGGGGTACAGATGACATGAAGTTGGGAGGGAGTGTTGACCTGCCTGAGGGCAGGGAGGCTCTACAGGGAGACTTGGGCAGACTAGATCGATGGGCCAAGGTCAATGGTATGAAGTTCCTAAAGGTCAAGTGCCGGATCTTGCACTTGGGCCACAACAACCCCTTGCAATGCTGCAAGCCTGGGGAAGAGCAGCTGGAAAGCTGCCCAGCAGTAAGGGACCTGGGGGTTCTGATTGATAGGCAGCTGAACATTAGCCAGCAGTGTGCCCAGGTGGCCAAGAAAGCCAATGGCATCCTGGCCTGTATAGAAATAGTGTGGCAAGCAGGACCAGGGAGGTGATTGTCCCCTCTGTACTCAACATTGGTGAGGCCACACCTCGAATACTATGTCCAGTTTTGGGCACCTCAATACAAGAAAGACACTGAGGTGCTGAAGCAGGGGCAGAGAAGAGTGGCCAAGCTAGTGAAGGGCCTTGAGAACAAGTCTTACAAGGGGCAGCTGATGGAACTGGGGCTATTTAGTCTGAAGAAAAGGAGGCTGAGGTGAGACCTCATTGCTCCCTACAACTACCTGAAAGGAGGTTGTAAAGAGGTAGGTGCTGGTCTCTTCTCACAAGTAACTGGTGATAGAACAAGAGGAAATGGCCTCAAGCTGCACCAGGGGAGGGTTAGACTAGACATTAGGAAGAACTTTTTCACTTAAAGGGTTGTCAGACACTGGAACATGCTACCCAGGGAGCTGGTTGAGTCACCATCCCTGGATGTGTTTAGAAGTTGTCTAGATGTGGTGCTTGGGAATATGGCTTAGTGCTGGACTTGGCAGAGTCAGGTTACTGGTTGGACTCAGTCATCTTGAAGGTCTTTTCCAACCTAAGGGATTCTGTGATTCTGCGATCTAAGGTGGGAAGTATCCCAGAAAGCTCCCTTGGAACGGGGCGGGGCTTGCCCTGACCCAGGAGGTGGAGGCTGGTAGAAGTCAAGGCTGGGATGCTAGTGGGCCACCATCTTTGTGCTGCGACATGCAAAGGTCCCACGTCCCCACACCCTTCCCCACCAGGACGACATCTCACCAGGCGAGGCAGGAGGATGTAGGAGAAGATTGCCAGCACGATCGCTACACAGGCCGTGGTGAAGTAACCGATGAAGCTCTCAGGTTGCTGGGCACCAACTGGTAGCACAGGAAGGAAGGATACAGGGGGGAAAAGGAAGAAGCTGACAGGTACTAAGAAGAGTAAGGCCCTGCTGCCATCTCCCACCCAACCCTGCAGTGTGACCCCAACAGATGCTGCTAGACATTAGGAAGAACTTTTTCACTTAAAGGGTTGTCAGACACTGGAACATGCTACCCAGGGAGCTGGTTGAGTCACCATCCCTGGATGTGTTTAGAAGTTGTCTAGATGTGGTGCTTGGGAATATGGTTTAGTGCTGGACTTGGCAGAGTCGGGTTACTAGTTGGACTCAGTCATCTTGAAGGTCTTTTCCAACCTAAGGGATTCTGTGATTCTGCGATCTAAGGTGGGAAGTATCCCAGAAAGCTCCCTTGGAACAGGGCGGGGCTTGCCCTGACCCAGGAGGTGGAGGCTGGTAGAAGTCAAGGCTGGGATGCTAGTGGGCCACCATCTTTGTGCTGCGACATGCAAAGGTCCCACGTCCCCACACCCTTCCCCACCAGGACGACATCTCACCAGGCGAGGCAGGAGGATGTAGGAGAAGATTGCCAGCACGATCGCTATACAGGCCGTGGTGAAGTAACCGATGAAGCTCTCAGGTTGCTGGGCACCAACTGGTAGCACAGGAAGGAAGGATACAGGGGGGAAAAGGAAGAAGCTGACAGGTACTAAGAAGAGTAAGGCCCTGCTGCCATCTCCCACCCAACCCTGCAGTGTGACCCCAACAGATGCTGCTGACAGCAGTGCTCTGGGAAGGCCCTGTCACCCACAGGGCAGGAATTACTCACTGGCAATACTGAAGATCATCGCCAAAGCGGCGAAGGTGCCGGCCAAGCCCTGCCCGCTCATGATGGGAGCTGTGTAGCTGGCAGGCAGGAGCCCTGCCAGGCCAAAGAGGCTGCTCTGGAGCATAGCACCAAAAGCTGTGAAGGGGAAAGATTAATCAACATGAGAAACCAAAGGCAAGCTTGGACTGCACCTCAGTGGGGAGCCAAGGCCTTTGCCCTGCAAGTCAAAGCAGGTCCTCCTCCTCCTTGGCTCTCCTGCAGTGAGGTTCATGTTCTTTTCCCAGTGACCAGCCCTAGCCATGAAGCTATGCCCTTTTTCTGCCCCCCACTGCCTCACGCACTGTTGATGAAGACGATGCTGATCATGGTAAAGACGAAGAAGGGAAGAGGCTCCATGGAGACCTTCACCATGATTGCAGTGACTAAAAACACCAGCCCAATGGCCACCAGGCTGCCCAAGATGCGGATCTGCTGGGGAATCCTGCAAGAGAGGATCTCAGTGAGGAAAACCCACCCCTCAGAAGCCTGTGAGGCTGGGGACAAGCTCTCCCATGGGAATCCCAGCCAAGCCCCAGCACAGGAGACCAGTGTTTTGCCTTTTGTCTTAACAGGCTGCACCTTGGTTCAGTGCCGGGGCAAGAGGATGGGCAAGAGCTAGGCAGCCCTACAGGGACCAGCAGGGGCAAGGATGAAGCAAGGCTCACCGCTGGTGGATGAAGGAGTTGAGGCAGGTGAAGATGAGGAGGGGCACCATGGCGCAGAGAGTCATGAAGTTGTCAAACATGGACTCTAGGTAGGAAGGGGACCCACCGGTCTCATTCCAGGACTGGCTCCTCTCCTCCGTGTTCGCGAGGCGACCGATGAAATACTGTTAGGGAAGGAGCCTGGTGGGGCTGAGGTGCTCTGAGGCCTCCTCCCCAGCAAACTTAGGCCACCCATGTCCCTTCAGCCCCATGCCCAGCCCAGGGTTCATCCTGCCACTTCAGTGCCACATGTCCTACCCAGGTCACCCATGCTTCTGTCTCCTGTGTGCAAATGCAGGGGTTCTACACCATGCCATGCTGTCACCACTACAGCATGGTCCCTATAGGTGATAGGGAATTATTAGTCTCATGGGCAGCAGGAGGAGGGAAGCCCTCACCTCCCTGGCAGTCATGAAGAAATTCCATGGCAGCAGCGTTCCCAGGCCGAGGATGAAGAAGATCAGCCAGACAGCCTTGTACCTGCAGATGGGACAGAGTAGTTTGGAGCAGGACTCTGGGCAGGGCAGAGGTCAGGCATCACTTCCAACTGTCCCTGACTCATCGCTGGAGGCACCAGGAGGAGGAGGGAGGACAAAGTGTATTGCCTTGCCTCTGCCCCACAGGACTGCAGGAGGAGATGTGGCGCTGCAGAGGGGCTGTGGGAGGCCCTCCCCGGGAAGGTACAAAGGCAGCAGTGGGCACTGGCTGCTCCTCAGCATGTGGCACCCAGATGTGCAGCAGCCACCATCAGAGCTGGGAGGGAGTCAAGCTCCCCAGGCGTGCCCCAGTGCCAGGGACTCTTTACAGCCCATTTGCTATGGAAAAGCTGATGGAGAGAGCATCTCAGGGCAGGGACAGCTCCATAGCCCAATAAGCATGCAGGAGGCACTGGGTCATCCTGTCCTCCCTCATCTCCTGGTATCCTGGGTGTGCCCCCAGACCCACACTGGAGCCTGGCATTACCTGTCTTGGGGCCCATCTCTTGCTGTCATCTTGTGCAGCAAGGGTCAGCGCAGGTCCCAGCAAGTCTCGTGGCTGCTCTCCGTCTGGAACGCAAACAGAGGATTTCATGGAGGAGTGAGGGATGCAGGCCAGGCAGGGGCAGGGCTGGTTTTAACCCCTCAGCCATGCTGCCAGGTAAGTTAAAGGAGCCAGAGAGCCAGCAAGAACACGGCACGGCTCAGAGCCCCTCAGCTGGGGGGCTGTGACACCCTGTCCTATGCTGCTGGCCGGGGAACACCAAGCCTTTCCTCCGAAAGGGGAGCTGCTTCCCTGAGACGCCCAGCCTGGGCGCCAGCTGCCTCTGCCTGCTCCGCAGCAGGCTCTGAAGGGATTTGCGACCCTGCAGCTCTGCCCCCAGCCCTCGGGCTGTGACTGCCTCACAGGCGCAGCGTCCGTCCCCCCTGCCCTCCCCACCTTCCTCCGACGCCCGGCGGCACAAAAGACACGTTTCATTCCGCAGCCTTTCCGGCCAGAACGGCGCAGCCCCGCCACCCCCTCATTTCCAAGTCTCGCTTCCCCGGGGCTTTCGAAGCCCTTTCCTGGGTCACCTTGGAAAGGCAAGGGCGTCCCTGACACTGCTGTCCCCTGCCCTGCACCCACCGCTCCTTTTCCCCCCCATCATCACCTGCCCAGCCCCTACCATCACCCTGGCGTTGCTGTCCCTAGATGAAAACAGCCTAGAAGGGACATTCCCTCCCCGATCCGTCCTCCCCCCACCTCTTCCCGGGGCTGAGCGCGATTAGCCGCTCTGGC